CCCGCGCCCCTTCTGCCTGGCTGGCACGGAGAAGCCCCGCAGGGGTCTCCACCGCCTGCCTCCACCGCCTGCCTTCTCTCTCCTCACGCAGCCCTGACTGCAGTGTCTCTCTCAGCTTATTCCCAAGCTTCCAGGACAGCTTCCTGACTATGTTAACACCTGGTCTCCTCTCGATCCATTTCCTTTGTTTATAATTCGGTTTTTATTTTTATTAGTGCATGTCTGCGGTCCATAACAATCACACTCACCATGGAGCTTACTCTGCACCTTAATCCCTGTACAACCCTTTCTCTCTCCTCTGTGTCCTCTCTGCCTTTCGGTCCATTTCCCAGCCCAGCATCCACTCACCTGAAAGGCTGCTTGGGTTCACTGCACACCTGGTTCTAAAGAACACAGGCTCCACCCACCACATCTGGAAGGCAGTGCTCCAGCTGGGGAAGACTGGGGTGGAATCCATTCTTCCCCTCTGCTTAGTCTGAGTGTTCTCTGTGCCAGGGTTAAGTGTTCACCTGTCAGTTTCTGAGCAACACTGTAACCCCTCTAGTTCACAGCTGTACCTGGTTTTTCGTACTCCTGAGCCAATCTTTAGGCTTCATGCTGTTTGTTGAATGAACAATGGGCATGAAATAAATATGTTCAAAATTCACTATAAACCTACAGTACTCAAATTTCCCCAAGATCACAATAAAATAATTATCATATGAAAAATCAAGGATTTGGGACTGACAAACTGAAATCTCAGTCTCATCTTCGTGACAACATAGCAACGTGGGACACTTTCTATCCACACCTGAACCCTGGGCACTTCAGTTCCACTAGGTTTGGGAGCAGAAGCAGCGTGGTCTCCACAGAGCACATAGCACTGGGCCCCAGGACGCACTCTGGGACAGCACAGAGTGCTTCACAGCTGAAGTTTGGTGGCAGATGGCCCACCCCCATCGTTCCCGGGGCTCACCCTGCCACACGGCGCCAGGCAGTGGCATCAGGCTGCCCAGTTTTAAGTCCCATACTGCCGCTGGTGACTTTCTGCTCTTACACAGGTGCTCTTACACCACCTCCTTACACTTCTGTTTCTTCCTTTGTAAAGGAGAAAAATAACATAATAGCAGTGAGAAATAAACAGGAGCTCTCCTCCCTGCAGTGACCATGGAGGTCCCTGGGAGGATGAGTGCCCTCTGGTCAGGATGCCCACCAGGCTTGGGACTCACTCGGTGGCCTGGGTAAAGGGAAGGGGAAGCAGGGAGATTAGATGGGGAGAGGCCAGAGGAAACTGAGGCAGGCTCTTTCTGGGAAGTGAGACTCTAACTGAGCTGTGGCCACCACCAGGCACCCACAGGGATGAGGATGACACCACCAGACACCCACAGGGACAGAGATGTCCTGAGACAGGAGGGATGGTGGGAACAAAAGCAGCCAGGCGACTTTCGGGGGAACATGGCAGATAGATAGTAGCAGCTTTGGAGGCTTTCTGAGAAACCTCACTTAAAATCCAGGAATGGTGCCGGGCCAGAAGTCCTAAGCAAGGGGAGATATACTTTGCCGACCCAGGAACGAACTAAACTAAGAGAAACCAACCAACTGGAAACGCAATCCCGGTGATATAACAGGAACAGATAAGGTCTCAGCACAGAAGCTGGACCCCGAACCACTGGAAGCTGCAATTTGAATTTCCTGCAGCTGCTGCTGCGTCCCAATCAGTGTGGCAAGGAGAGAGGCGCGAAAGCTCTGAGAGTGGGAAGCGTGAATGGAGTTGAGAGCGGGACTGGACAGGAGCCCTGCATCGACCTGTGGTGAGTGAGCAGATCAGGGACCCTTCCACAGAGTAGGAGGCTTCAGCAAAGGACATACTGGGACTGGGCAGACTAGCCGGAACAGGGCGCTGCAGTGACTTCAGTCACATATTCCCCTCTCAAGCGGGATTGGTGGGGAGTGCCTGGCCTGCGTGATGCCACTAACTAAGACCCAGTAGGCTAGCCCAAACCAGGTCGTGTCTCCCTAGTACACTGCGGTGGGCAGGAACACCCAGCCAGCACAATTCAAACAAACTGTAACCAACAAGAAAGAAACTGGGCCTCCTATATACACTTATATAAAAGGAACAAAAAATATGGGAAGAGGGAGCAACAAGAAAGGGTCCTCGGCCCCCAATCCGGAGAAACATGCAATATCAGACACGGCACCAATAGACGAGTTCAGGAATGAAGTTATTAACAAGAAGCAAGATATAAGTAGAATAGTTAGAGAAATGCTAAGCACCGCCCAAGAAAAAACAGATGGTGGAATGGAAGAACACAAAAGCAGCCAGGCACATGACACGGTAGTGACACATAAACAGAGAAGAAGCATCACCTCTTTCTGTGGTGAGAATGACCGCATCGAGGCACACCTAGGGCTGCTGACACCCTGGCCCTGATCTTGGGATGGGCAGGGGATGTCCACAGCAGAGCATAGGCTCTGTGTGAGCAGCTCAACACCACAACCTGCCAAGAGGATTTGCAGAAAGCAAATGACAAGTTAGAGTACTTGGAATGTATTGGGTAATCTGCAAGGGGCCTCAGCCACTCTGTCTTGCTTCGTTGTGATAATAAAGGTTGAGGTAGGTGCTCATTAGCCTCATTTTCCAGCTGTGGAAAGTAAGGCTTAGGTTAGATAATGTGCCCAAAGCTACCTGCTAATGTATAGGATGACACTGTGCTGAACGCCTGGCCAGCCCTCCATCCTCCTCCTCTGTTTTTCTGGGTTATTCGGGTCCTGCACTCCCGGACTTGGGAAAGCCTTACTTTTACCTGCACTGGGACCAGGAAAGGCTACCTTTCTTGTCCCACCAGCTGGGCTCCCTGAAAGTCCCCAGAGCTCCTCCTTCTGCTCAGGACAGCTGCGTGCTTTCTCTGGGTTCCTCTGAACAGGAGCCGGAGGGACGCAATCCAGGCAGTGTGTCCCTGTGCACGGGTCACTCTGGTTCTGGGGTCTCGGAGCATGGAGACATGGGGTGTGACATCTGGGGTAAGATGTCAGGGAGGGAAGAGGACCATCAGGGTGACATAAAGTTACATTTCGGTTTTCATTCATTTCCTATAACCTCAGCTATAGCCAAGGGTGACTTATGAAGAAGCAGCGTCCTAGGAAAAACAAAACAACAAACCCAACCGATGGGCAGGAAGACAATATTCCGCCTGCAAATCTGGAATGAGGCTGTTAATTAGACGGTGGGTTCTCTCAGCTTCTAAGGCAGAATCAGCAGCTTCCTTTCTCCTGAGCGGGGACCAGGGGTTCCCATTCTCTTCTTTCGTGGCAGCATCCAGGCAGTGACCCCTCTGATCATGCAGTGGCACAAGGAGCACTGTTACTTACAGAATGTCTCTCATTCTTACACCAGTGCAGGGAGGTCTGCGTCACTCTCCCTCCTTTAACCTTGCACTCGGGGCTCAGGCATTTAAGTCACTTGCAGAAAACCTTCCCGCTGCTCAGTGGCAAGGCCGGGCTGTGCGTCCAGGTCTGGCTTCCAGCTCCTCGAGTTTCCACTGCTGTCTCCGACAGAAGCAGAGAGCCCTGCTCACCTGCAGCCTCTCCTGGGCTCCTTTGTCCCTTGTGCTTCTACCGTTCCGTGTTTCAGCATTGTGCCGGGCTGTCGGTGCCAATCTCAGGGTGGGCGAGTGGCACCTGGCTGTGGGCAGACAGTTAAGATACTTTCCGCCCCCTCTTCTCCAGTGAGACAGCAGCAACTCTGGAAGTGTGCTGATATCATGGTGACAGACCCGAGGAGGGTGTGGTGATCACACGCCCATTTCCCAGGTCAGCTGGGCAGACAGAGGCCTGAGGACCAGGCACGCCCCACAAGGAAGAGGAGTGGGATCCTGTCCCAGGGTCGCATCACAAGCACCTGTTTCCCTGGTCACCTCTGAGAAGCTGCTGTTACAGGCAGCTGAGTTAGTTAGAAATACTGTAGGCAGCGAGACCGGGCTGGGTCCTCCAAGGAGCCAGGCAGAAGCCCAGATACCCTGCAACTATGGAGGAGACAGACACCACCTGCTGTGGGCCAGGCCTCAAGCGAAAATATCACACTAATGCACCCACGTCCCAAGGACTGATATTCTCAGGTCTCTATCACCCTGAGGAAGCCAGGAGTCACCGTCCCAACTCACTGCTCTCTAAGAACGCCTGCTTTCTACTTGACTCGCTTCCCCAATTGTCCTCAATTTAATCAGTTTTACCTGAACTATTAATCTTTTATTTTTAATTCTTTTGCAGTACTGGAGATCAAACTCACAACCTTGAGCTTGCCAGGCAGGTGGTTATGCCACTGAGCTAAATGCCCGGCCCCTGAACTATTTTTTTTTTTCCCTAAACCATTAATCTTACTGGTTGACCACAGCTCTGTCCCACCTCATGCCCATCTGCCTTGTGAGTTCCCAGTTTTCCCTACCTTGGACCTGTCTCACCTCATGGTTTTGCTCTATAAAAGTCGCTAGTCTTTGGCAACCTGCTCAGGTCCCCTTCTGTCTCTCTCTCAGACAGAAGCTTTCTTTCTCTCAACAAATATATTCTGCTCTTAACCTCTGGTTGTTCCTAAAATTCATTCTTTGATTTTAGAGAACACGAACTGGTACCGGACATAGCAGGCTGGGAGTTTCATTCCCCTGTATCACTGCCAATCCACAGCTTTATCACAGAGGACTCGGGCTCTGTGCAAATCTCCTGAAGGATGAGATAAGTACTTTCCCCGGCCATGCTGGTCAAGAGTGTGCTGGTCCTATCCAGCAGTAATGTCATGGAATAGACCTTGTTCAGCTGGCGGGAACTTTGGAGATGTGGTCTGCACAGGTAAATACAGGGGCCCTGGAAAGCCTATCCATAGACACGGGAGCCCTGCCCAGTGAGAGGAGCCCCCTGACCCCAGGACAGTAGGACGGCAGCAGGGTACCAAGGTAGTGACACAGCTTGGTGTGTGAGACACAGTGTGAAATCAGGGTGCGGGCTGTCTTCTGAGGCTATGTCGCGGACATTCAAGGCGGCTCAGTCATTCTGACTCCCACCTAGTGATACATGCATTCATTGATTGAACACATGTTTATTCACTGAGCTCTGCAGGGTGCGAGTCCTGCTCCAGTCTGGGGATTCAGCAGACAATGGGGCAGGTGTCTTTGAAAGAAGCCCATGTTCACGGGGCCTCAGAGAACTGACTGTGCAGGGGACACCACACTCGGCCTGCTCAGCGGAGGGGAAAGGTCGTCACTTAGAGTTGGAAGCCAAGAGCCATCACCGGCGGAATGCAAGTGACCAGGACTCCACCCATGCCTTGAGACGCTGCCAGGAGAAATCAGGCCCAGTGTGCAGGCTCACAGGGAAGCAATGCCCAGAGAAGCACGAGGTTGTCCCCTGCCCCCCACAGGGTGGTGGGGCAGCAGGATGCAGCTGATGAGGAGGTAGAGAGGCTATCCAGCCTCACTGTCCCATCCCTCTCACTGCCCATCCAGTGAGTGGCTAAGTGGGGCCCGTCTGCCACCCTCAAGCACTCCAGAGAGACAGTAAACAGAGAGGAGCAGAGGGTGGAAACTCCACCCAGCCCTCTTCCTCTGGGTTCAAGTCCATCCTCATTCTCAGGCATTGAGGGAGCCTCCTGCATGGAGCGAGGCCCGTGTGGGGACCGGCCAGTTTGCTTTGGGAGATCTCCTGCCATAGTAGAACCCACAATATTTAGTATTTTAAATACTTCTGGTACCTGGGATCAGAGTGTACGACACAGACAGGGCGCCAAGGTCCGACTGAAAACGTAAATACACGTCGGGCATGGTGGCACGTGCTGGGAGGCTGAGGCAGGAAGATCACGAGTTCAAGCCCAGCTAGGCAGCTGAGTAGGACACTCTCAAACTAAAGATTTAAAGGAAGGCTGGGGCTGTGTCTCAGCGTGAAGGCCTCGGGTTCAGTTCCCAGGCTCATGCGCACGCACACGTACACACGACTGGAGACCTTCCCATCGCCAGAACTCATCATCATCAACACGCTTCTGTTCCAGGCGGGCCACCCAGCTGCGGAATTCTGTCCCAGCAGCAAATGCCAGGCACCCAGCTCTGCACAGGCACCGAACCAGGCCCCGGGCTCAGAAGGTGCACACATAAACCACCAGTCCTGCAGCCCAAGTGGGTGAAAACCCGCTGGGTCCCGTGACGTGGAGAAGAGGAATCGTGTAATTACCAAACTTGCAATTACCAAACGGGGTCCCCCTAACTTCGCCGAGGATGTTTTATATACGGTGTGTTGAGCTCCACGGACAGAAGCTGCTATATGGTAAAACCCCCCCTGGATGGCGCCCCCTGGCGTCGTTCCATGTAGCCCTGTGCTGTCACTGGCTCAGCTCATCACCAAGTTCAGGAAATAGAGTGGGCGGCGCCAGGGGACGGAGACGGGAACCCTGATGCCATTAGCAAGGCTGATATGGAGAGGGGGAAAGAGTATAATTTCCATGGCAAGTGTGAGGCAACAATCCATAAAGAAACAAGCACTAGTTCCTTTCATCGTTTGTGAAACCCTGGGACAGTGTAGCTCATTTTCAGTTTGTTAGGCTTTGCTTCCACATAATCTGGAGTATCTCACAGCTATTTTGGGTCCCAGCTGGTAAAAACTTCCAAACCTGTTGTCAACCCTAGAACAAATATTTTGATTTACTAAGGAGCTAAAAGTAGATGAGACATTCAGGGAGTGTAGATCCACCCAAAACTTGCTATCTTAAGGGATTTAGTTGTTTTCTTAGTCATGCATCTATTACAAATTTCATATTTTAGAAAGCTAACTTTCTCCTAGCATTTCAGCTCTGAGGGGATCATGAGTCTTGTGGACTTGACGTTTTTGTAAAGGCAGACACGAGTCTGGAATGAGAAGCTTACAGCAGCAGGTCCCTTCCGACCTCGTGTTCCTACCCCACCTACTGTTGCTTTTAAGTGTGCTTTACTTTTATATATACTACACGCTCAGCAGCACCTTGCTGCTATTGTTCATGAGCCGGCTCATTATCTTTTAGAGTAAAAGCATCCGGGCATACTGTGCACCTGTAATCCCAGCATCCCAGGAAGCTGAGGCAGGAGGGTTGCAAGTCTGAGGCCAGCCTGAGTGACTTAAGGAGATCCTGTACTAAAATTTAAATTAAAAAAAAAAAAAAAAGGATTGCAGATACAACTCAGCCCTCCCTGAGTGCAATCTCCAGTATTACAATAAGAAAAAAGAGAAGGAAAGGAAGAAAAAGAAGGGGGTAGGGAGGAGAGGAGAAGAGAAGAGAGGAGAAGAGGGGGCAAAAAGAAGTGTCTTCTTATCTTAATCTTAGCACTTTAAAAACAGGCCCGATCATTTCTGTATGTGTCATGCCAAGTTCCCACTATGAATATCTCACAGTGTTATGCCGCGGTTCTTATGATTAACAAACGGATGTTTACCCACTATTAGTAACCAAAGCCCGTAGCTTATTCAGTGTTCCTTTGTCGGGGCCCACGTCCTCTCCCCGCCCCAGGCCCCACTGCCTTGTGTCCCTGGGCTCAGGCCTCTCAGGTTTTCTTTCTCTGTTATGATCTCAGTGATTTTGAGAAACGATGGCAAGCTATTTTGAAGAATGTCCCCTGAATGGATCTAGCTCATGAGTAATTTGGGATTATGAGTTTTGGGAAAAAACTCAAGAAGGTAAAGGGCCATTTTTATTTCAGCTATGAGGGTGCATGTTACCAACACTGCACCCTTAGGCCAGCCCTGGTCACAGGGCTGTGAGCTCCTTCACTGTAACCTTAAACCTTTTCTGTGCATTCCACGCCCTTAGACTAATGTCCCCCTCCCTTTTTTCTTTGTACTGGGAATCGAATCTATGCTCTTTGTGTCAGCTGCATTCTCAGCCTCTCTCTTTTTTAGTCAAGTACTTGCTAAGTCACTAAATCAAAACTGTGATTCTCCTGCCCTCAGGCTTCCAAAGTGATGGGCTTACCGGCATGCACCACTGCGCTCAGCTGGAATTAATTAAAAGAAGACGAAAAAGGAGCAGAAGGAGGAGAAAAAGAAAAAGGAAGAGGAGAAGGAGAAAGAGCTGTAAAGAACTGATCAATGCTATAATCTAGAAGAACTTCAAGTACCGCGTGTGACTCTGTGAAATGTCCCAGAAAGCAGGCGTCTAGGCACAGCATAGACACTGGGTTGTCTGGGTTTGGGGTGGGAACATGGGACAGAGGGCAGAGGGTCCTCGGGGTCGAATGGAAGAATTCTTAAGTGAGGTGGGAGTGCTGGTTGTAAAACGTAGAACATCTACTAAAAAGAAGTCCCAGAACTGTATGCGTTAGATGAGTGGGCTTTACACTAGATAACACTGCTTTAAAAGCCAAAATATACCATCAGAGAAGCCTCTCTTCCGATCCATCTTCCACTCCCTTCTCTCCCATTTTCATCAGTTTCCGATAGATGCTGCCAGTCTTGCTTTGGAACATACAAATACATATGATGTTTTATAATGTTTAATTTTTAGTAATAACGTTTAATTCATCACAAAATAAGAGCAAAGAGGAGGGACTGGGGGTTTAGCTTAGCGCCTGCCTGGCAAGCGTGAGGTCATGAGTTCGATCCCTGGTACCAAAAAACAAGAGCAAAGAAGAGGAGAAAAGAGTGAAAACAGTAGAATCCCCTGCGGGGGACCAGACAGGAAGCGCTGAAGGCCAGGGATGGGAGGGAAGGCTGTAAGAGGGCTGACGGGTGCATGTGCACACGTGTGTGTATACGCGTGTGCGTGTGTGCATGCGTGAGTATGCGTGCGTGCACGCGTGTCTGTGTGCATGTGTGCGTGCACCTGTGTGGTGACAGCACCTGCACCTGTGATACGGGTGGAAGGAAGTCCAGGTGACTAACAGGAAGCCCCCGGGCCTGGCCTGTTCCCCAAGAGGCCACGAGGTGGCGCCCGCGCCCCAGCCAGGCCTACTCCTCCGGAGGAGGAAAGGAAGCCTACTCCTCCGGAGGAGGAAAGGACTGGGTATTTCGCCATTGTCAACCAGGGCAGGTACACACACAGACACAAACTCACCCCAGGACACAGCCCAGATGGGTAAACTGAGGTGTAAATCTCCGTGGCTGTTAACATGAACTTCCGTCCTGATCTGGGAGCAATTTCCCAACATGAAAGTTGGGTTTGGTCCAAAAGTGGGTCCCTAGATCCTCAGACTATGAACATTATTTAAACTGTGACTTTGCTGTTCTTGTGCTGGGACCCTCTTCCCAGGGAAATTCCAGGCCCAACCCTGGTGCCCTACCACCCCGTCCTGCCCCACCTTCTGGGGGGCTGGGCTGTGCTAGCCGCCCTCTCCTTCTCTGGGGTGGGGGGGGGGGGAGACAACTGTCTCCTCCTCTTCCAGCGGTGTCCCCAGGGGCATTGTTCCTCTCCAGGGCTCTGTGTTAGACTCTGAGACCACCCTGGAGCCCCCAGGCCTCTCCACAGCCTTGTCTGGTTGGGTTTGGTGCGGTCCTGAGTTACGCAGAAGCCATTCTACAAAGGACAGGGGAGAAGAGAATATTGTCTTTAATATTCCTCTCAAATTCTCCCTTTGGGAGTTTTCTGGCCAGTTCCCATGCCATTATAAAAAGCTAAGAGAGGTGGACATGGTGGCACAAACCTGTAATTCCAGCACTTAGAAGGGTACGGCAGGAGCGTTGCCACACGTTCAAGGCCAGCATGGTCTACATAGTGAGTGGGAATCTCAGGCGGAGATGGACAATTCTGAAATCTGTGGAGACTAAATAACAGGTGTTTGTAACTTCCAACATGGGTGGCTTTAATTTCAGTCCCACCATCCTACCTTTTGTGGGGGTAAAATTGACTGTAATCCTTAAAAGATAAGAATATCCTTCATAAAAGGATGAGAAGCCACACAAGTCAGATTGCATCTGTTCCCAGACCAAAATAAAGTTAATAATAGTTTGAGATTAATTAAAGCATAAGCATCCACAGACATAACCTGCTTTATCCCATTCCATATAAAAAAGAAACCTGTTCTTGTCTCAAATTCAACTACTTTACACTAGCAACAAATTATTTTCAAGTACCAAAAGTCTGTATCATGAACTGTTTGCAGTCTCACTGTTTGAATGTCCACTCTATATGCTTTAATTTTTTTTATATGCTTTAATTTTGTAACTTGAACAACTATTTTTTTTTTTTTTTGTCTTTTTCGTTTTTATCGGTATCAGGGATCGAACTCACGACTGTCTGCTTACAAGGCAGGCGCTTATGCCGCTGAGCTAAATCCCCAGCCCCAAACAACTATTTCTAAGATAATAATATGTAATCTATTAACTAGTGATTTCCTACTGTTTATTTTTTCTGAAATTCTGTATAACTTGTGCCCTTTTTCTGTTTTTTTTTTTTTTCTTTTTTCTCCTTAAATAAAATTAAAAAACAAAAAGTCTGTATCATGCCAGAAAGCAAACCATTGCTCAGAAATGTAAGCAGTGTGACGGAGGTGGGGACAGATCATGCTGTGAGGTCATTAGCAGGAAACTACAAATCATTTTTAATCTCCAATTATTCCTAGGCCTTGTGAGGAACCCATACAAACACATTTAATTTTTCAGAACTTTGGGGAAAAGACCTTTATAAAATGAAGGCATTTTCTTCAAACCATCTTTGAAGAAGCCTGAAGGTATTTTATGAAAACGGTACTAGCCTAATGGGTCTCTAAGACAGAAATAACCCTTTTAAAAAATAAATGAGTGGAGGTATCAGGAGGAAACACTTCAAAACTGGGCATTTTTTCTTGAACCAAAATCTCCTCCACTTCAGCTGTTTTCGCTACTTTAATGTTTGAAACAATAAGGTTTCCTGCAAAGGAAATCCACAGAGGGGCAGGTGGCAGCAAAACACACTGTGTTTTTCCTACACTGGGTGTACTCACATCATGCACCCCATCTCAGAAGCGGTCCTCGGATTCCCACGCTCCTGGGGTGTGACTGTCCCTGATTCTCATCTGGAAAGGTTCTGCGTCTGCAGAAACCTGGCAGCCTTGGCCCTCAGGTAACCATTAACAGCTATCAGGTCTCAGGCATCTACAATTCGCCCCTGTTGACACTGCTTTTCCAGCCCTACATGGAGAGAGGAAGAAAGAGAGAAAAAGGAGGAGATGATTTAAAAAGCAATTTAATTTCTCCTGAGCTAGCTACTTCTGTCTTTCTTCTCCTGTTTTCCTCAAGAAATAGCTGGAGGATTGCACAAGGAGATTTCACCTTATTTTTGAACAACCATAAGCTTCCCTTTAAGATCCTATCCTACAAGTTAGTCACCAGTGGGTGAAAGACAAGGAAACCAAACAAAAAAGGCCACAGTAAGCCAACAGGACCTTTTCAGATATGCGTTCTGTGTTAGCAATGTTGCCAAAATTTAAAACTTTGTTGGCTTAATCAAGCTCCACATTTCCTATCCAGAACTTTACTTCAGTGTTTCCTGCTTCCCATCTTGGCAAATGCTTTGCTAACATATTTAAAAAAACAAACAACCTGGGTATAGTAATAAACGCTTGTAATCCCAGACCTGTGGGAGGCTGGGGCAGGATTGCAAGTAGCCACTGAGACCTGGTGTCACAGTAAAAAAGTGAAGGGGGCTGGGGGGTAGGGATATAGTTGAGCGGAGAAGGGCCTGGGTTCAATGCCCAGGAGAGAAAGAGAGAATCTTATCCCCAGCACCCCTATCTGCTGTTACCCTCTGCTCCCTGTATGCTGTCACCTGCAAGCATATCAATCCCAGAATCATAACATCAGGGTTAAAATATTTAGCTGCTGAGAAAACAGCTGTGGGTGGCAGCAGTGCCAGCCTCTGGATTCTGAGTCACCCTGGAGCAGGAAACAGAGGGCACCCTGCTCCCACCCACCCAGTTATCTGGCCCTCAGGAGTTTTTTGTTTTTTTTTTTTTTTTTTTTTGGTACCAGGAATCAAACTTGTGACCTTGTGCCTGCCAGGCAAGCTCTTACCCTGCTGAGCTAAATCTCTGGCCCTCCCAGGTGTTATCTTGAACAAAGTGAGCACTTCCTGGAAACCACCTTCTCTTCCTGCTGGGGAAAATTAGAGCTCCGTGAATAATTCCATAGCATCAGGGCCCTTTAAAGCAAGCCCTAGAGTGCTGTAGCCACTGTCCTGTCTCAGAGAGGTGGCGGAGTCCGAGGGGGAGAATTCACCCTGTTCCACTGCATTTCAAAGCCCTGAGCTGAAGGCAGAGTTCTCCATTACTGATGTGCAGAAATGAGCTCGGGACTTTTCACCGCCATTTTGCTCTTCAGCAATTTGTCTTTGTTTTGTTTGTTGTGGACCTGGGGGTTGACCCTAAGGCCTTCCCGCTGAGCGACAGCCCCAACCCTTTCTAATGTAGGTAGGGACAACTATTGAGACAGGGTCTTGCTAAGTTGCCCAGGCGGTGGCCTCCTGCCTCAGCCTTCCAGAGTACTGGGATGACAGCATGTGTCAGTATGTCTGGCTACCATCTCTCTTTTGGTGTCACTTCTGTCATTTTTTTCATTAGAGTATTTTCAAGGAGCATACCATGCACTCAAAGAATAAAATACATCATGATGTTAATAGGGGTAAGTAGAATAATTTTTAAGTAAGTAAAACTTTATAGAAAGCAAAGCTTTTGATCTTCTCATTTTTTTTAACATTCCGTCCTCCACGGAGTCTATTGCTCATCAATTTAAATATGTCTACATAGATATCTGTATATATGTGACATCCATTTTTATTAGTGATTACCCTTAGTTTAGCATCACTATCATAAAAGCAAGGGATACTGAAGAAAACAGAGAGGGGGAAGCTATCAGTGACATTAGCCAGGTATTTAATAGTACAACCAAGACTGCTTGCTTCCTAGTACAGACCAATCAAGATAAGCCACAACCTAAAATAAAGTGAAATGGAGCACCTTCACCCAAGGCGCTGACATTCCCCTGGATTGTGTTTGCCCTGGAGCTCAAATGTCTCCTGCCTGTTATAGATTATTTCTTTGCCTCTGCTTGAGGCCTAATTCATCTTAAACCTGCACAGAGGTGTCTGATTACTGCTGTCAACAACACTGTAGCTTCCTCCCTGGGAGATTTTGGTCTGATCTCAGACCCTCTAGTGCTCAGTACAAGGTGATTGTTGTTAGAAGACTTGGCCTGTTCTTACTGGGTTATGCTGATAACACTTCCCCCAGCATCAGCCCGAAGATAGCTGCTGGGGAGGTCCCCGCATGACCTGGATGGCTGAGTGGGAAGCCCCTCAAGGGACATTGGCTGCACCATGGAAAGGGAAGCAGGCCTTGTCTGTGTGCCCGTATCTGTCACATCAGGTGCTGAGCCAAATCATCTATAGATCTCTGGAGCTGTTTCAAGCCATAAATGTTGGTTTTCACTCTGAGATGTTTTAAGGCTTTGCAGCCACAGAGCTGGGTCACATCTTCAGAGAGATCTTTTATTTATATGCTTGCTGTTAATGAAATTCTCCCTTGGAGAAGAGCTCCTGAGCAACCAGGTCCAAACCTTCCCATTCAGCATAAAGATGGCTTTATATATTTTATAATCCATACAGCAGCTCATCTCTTATAAAATAGAACATGAACTCAGCCCCAGAAGTGAACTGCTTTCTTTTGAGCTCCTGAAAGAATCCAGGTTACAGTTTAAATGTACAATGAGATTCCAAGTCCAATATTAAAGTTCATGTTTTCATTTGGAAATACCCCATCCCAGTCATTCTTCTGCCTTCTTTATTTAGTGACTAAAGAACTATGTCTGCTTGGTCATTTATGATTCTTGGTAAATAAAAATGCAAGAATCATGCTCCAGAATGAGTCACACTGTGATGTTTACTGAGTGAAAAAATAACTTTGGAAACTAAGAGTATAAGGAAATAGAAAATAAAAAACATGCATTCCTGTAGGGGTGATTCCAATCTCAAAGAAAGAACCGATACCTTTTGTTTTGTCTAGGAGTTCACAACCCAACCCAAAAGCTAGTGACGTTGTACAGCTGGACAATGCCTGGCCATACATAGCTATTGGAGTAACCAAGGCTGGGGGAGGGGGGATAGAAACCACCACTGCCCAACAGAGTGAGGCATTGGGTTTACGGACTTTGCTCCTGTCATTTTACTCGTGGTAAAAGGGATGAGGGGTGTGGCGTGTCTATGTGGGAGCAGTATGGGTACTCTGGTGGGCAGGATGGTGTGGAGTACAGTCCTGAGATAGCTAGGAATATTAGAGTCACAATAAACAGGTGAGTCAGTTGAGAAGCCCATGACAGCGCCTTTCAGTGTTTGGGATCCTAGAAAATCCTGTTCATTTACACCATGAAAAATACTGGGTGCTCACAACATAACCCCATTGTACTGGACACTGTGACTGTAAAAATCATTACCCTAACGGTGACTTGTAGGTCCTCATCATGCTAACCACACCCTGGTGCAATCCATGCAGCCGGTACTTCAATCCACGAAAGGGTCAGAGTCTAGATCTGACTTGACATGAGAAGGAATTTGGAAGTGTCATCCATTGCAGGATGCCACCATCGGGGTACAGTGGTCCTATTGCCTCTGCAGCTCAGTTCTACAGACAGTGGGTATTAGCAGAAGACCAACATGAGGTTTTGCCCCTGGTATTACTAGAAACTTTAGCTCTTCCAGGTAGAATTAATTAACAAATACTTAAAGATTGACTAAGAACAGTGGTCAAGGAGATCAGAATGAAACATAGATCTCTGTGCTTGCAGGGCTTTGGACGTTCATTGGGGCTGGGGAGGCAATGGTGTTCTGTAAGCCACACAGCAGGTGTCTACTGCTGGATGCAGTTCTTGGGCACAGGCGGGAGAGTTAATGATCTACTGCAGGCTCAGGCTGCAGAGCGGCTTTAAGGAAGCAGTGGGTAAATAACCCTGCTTGTCGGCCACTTGACCACAGGCACAGGGAAAATGCATCACCTACCTGAGACCCAGCATCCATCGAGTGGCTGATGAACTTGTGTCCTAGCTGATGTGAGCTTGATGAGCAAAGAGATGATTTATGTGGCAGGCAGGCCAGAGCAGGACAACAGGAGATTTTGCCACGGTATTCAGAGGCTCTGGGCAAGTCACGAAAACTTCTGAATTATTTATTTTGGTTATTTTCCATTCCATATTTCCAGGCCATGGTTAGCTGTGGCCAACTGAGGAAGCACAGCCACAGATAGAAGAGGCGACTGTCTCTGTGTTCCAAGTAGCATGAAGGAGCCGATGATTTGACTCTCCTGGCAGCTCAGAAGCCAAACAAGGTGCAGAGCTGCCTTGGGCTGCAAGGGTGCCTGGGCAGCAGGGTCCGGGTGGAGAGAGGACTCAGTAGGACGCAATGCAAGGCCATGGCACAGACATCGGCAGTGAGGGCTGATCCCCACCTGCTCCAGCACTGGGTGTCAGAGGGGCTGAGGGGCTTCTGGTAGCCGTGAAGCTGGAGCCTTCGAGTGCTCTGTGCAGAGGGACTCCTTCCTGTGGTCCTGTTCTGTGCAGATTTGACCCTAGTGTCTCTCCTGTTCTTCACTGCGTAAACCTGTGTCGGTCTCTACCTCTTTCATTTTATAAACAAGAGGAAGGAGAGGTGGGAAATAGAATCACCCTTCCCTTGTTTGGTATTTTCATTTGCCCATAATCATTCCATTAAAAGAAAAAGGTGTTTTTCTATATTTTATGATACTGGACGTTGAACCCAGGATCTTTGCACTATGCTGTAATTCTAGTCTTAAATTTATCTTATTTCATTTCGTTTCATTTTATTTGATACAGAGTCTCACTGTGCAGCCCAGGCTCCTCACCAGGATCCTCCCACCTCTCAGCCTCCATAATGCTGAGATTACAGCACTCACTACCACACCCGGCCCTCGCTTCTTTTTTTTTTTGAGACTGTCTTTCAGTAGCTAAATTGGCCAGAAAGGACTTAAATTTTCTGTCCTCCCGCTTCAACCTCCCAGAGCTCTGCAATCACAGTCAGGTGCCAACATGCCAGCCTGCACGCTGCATCGCATTGAACAGGTGTCACCCTAAACGCTTCATCTTATTCTTATCTCTTTGCCTGTGCTTCCTTGCCTGTGCAAGTACTCACCTTACCTGATCTACCTATGTTGGTTACTGGCACTGTTTAACCACCAAGCCCCAATCCCAAAATCATCTGTATAATTTTCCCAGCATCTTTCTCTGTCCCCTTTAGTCCAGCTGCTGCTTCTTTTTTAGTGTCTTTTTATCTGTTTTTCAATTCCCTTCACTAGTACCCAAGGTTGAGCCCTCATTTTTTTTTTTTTTTTTGTCTTTTTTGTTTTTATCGGTACCAGGGATTGAACTCACAACTGCCTGCTTGCAAGGCAGGCTCTTATGCCACTGAGCTAAATCCCCATCCCCGAGCCCTCATTTTAACTACTGAAGTAAGGTCTTTTTATCATTCCCTTGAGGCAAGGTCTCACTATGTATCCCAGGCGGGGCTTGAACTCAGAGGGCTCCCCCTGCCTCAGCCTCCTGCATGCTGGAATTACAGGCATGTGCTGGTATGTCCAATTTGAAGTGAAGTCTTCAGTGAATTCCTTGTCTCAGTTTCTCTCTCTGTTAGTCTAACATGTTTAGATCACCTTCTAAAACATTACATAAACGCCCTCCTCTATCCTAGAGAGACCTCCTTCACAAAAACAGCTGCTGCGAAATCATTTTAAAAATATACACTTTCCACAATCAATCAATCAATAAGCTAAGAGCCTAGCTCTGTGGCACAGCACGTGCTCAAACACACCTGATGCCCTGGGTTTAGAGCCAGCACCATAAAATGAACAAGCAAATATTATCATTTAAACATCTTATTTAACCTTCAAACATATAAAACATGAAGCTAGTTTGCTAGAATTTTTTATTTTTTCTGTACTGAGTTTTGAACCCAAGTGCTTTGCACTGAGCGGCATCCCCAGCCCCTTTCTTTCTTTCTTTCTTTCTTTCTTTCTTTCTTTCTTTCTTTCTTTCTTTCACTTTGAGTCAAGATCATAAGTCACTAAGCTGCCCAGACTGGCCTCAGATTTGCAATCCTTCTGCCTCAGCCTCCCTAGGTGCTGGGATCACAGGAGAGCTCCACTATGCCTCGTTTGGAGATGATGTTTGTAGAGTGGAGTAAGAATGTGAAAAAGACTAAGCAACTGCATCTGCCAAGAGGCCCAAGTCTTCATGTGGACCTGCAGAAGCCCAGGGGGTGATTAAGGCAGCAAAAAAGCTTGGGGTTTCTGCCTCCATGTTGCAGGTCTCCTCCACTCCGAGTCAGTCTATCCTGAAGCCACTGAGGATTCCAGCAACTACCTGTCTGACAGATAACACACCTTGTGATGAGGTCAAACTCCTCTCAGGTAGCAGCCACCTTTTTATCACCTGAGTCAAGAGCCACGGCTCCATTGGGATGGTTTGGTTGGGACCTGGCTCTCGTGTCCACCCCAGGGATGGGCTGTGTTGTACCCCAAAAAACAACCCCCGAGATGTTGTCAAGAAGGAAGGGGGCAAGACATCTTTAAAAGAGTGCTTTATTTAAGCTGCTATCCAGTGGCACAGTGCAGATGGAGTTTGCAAAGCTATGCAACTGGGTTAGAATTTTGACAGATTTTTATAGTTCATTTATGATTAGTTCATTAACCATTAAGTACATAGCGATGAGAAACAGAAACAACGTGGGCCTTTGTTCCCCTTTGCTTGAGGTCAGAGGTATTTCACAGTGGGTGGTTAGCCAGTTCATAGCCCTTGGTCTGCCAATTCCAGGAACATTTGTCTCTCATAAAGGGAACAATAGTTGACACAGCATCATTTGTCTCTTACAAGGGGAACGAAAGTTGACACAGCAAACAGGTTACTCGGGGGACGAGGCATACAGAACAGTATGATGACGTGATCAGTTAATTTATAACTATGTGGTTGGTGCTTTAATTACATGGTTGCTAGGGTAGTACAGAATAACAATTCTGCTAATAATTGTCTTTTTAACTAACTATTTTAGTTTTTTAGCATTTTAGAACAACAGGCTGCCCGTGCTGGACCCCATCTTCCTGACCCAGGACATTGCATGGATCCATTCCTGCTTCCACCATTGCATCTCCCATTTGGTAAAGGGGCAGGGCTGGTGTGTGGGGACTCTGCAGAGTCTGAACACCTCTGCCTGGGACTCCCAGGACAAGAGTTTCTGTACCTGATGATTTTCTCTCTTGAGGTCTGTTATTTATAGATTTGATATGGTTTTGTGCTTCCCCCACCCCGCCTTGGGCAATTTACTTTATGGTGATTCCTCAAAAAATTCTATATGTGTGTTTGAGTGTGTGTGCATGTGCTGATTGACACTTTTCTTTCTGCATAAGGTGAACCACCTTGGTTTCTGCACTCACACTGCACTAGTTTCCACAGGGCTTCACTAGGATCTTTGTGGGTTTGGAGTCAGATAAGAGTTAGTGCATTCCTTACCCATCTTTCCCACTAAACACAGCCATGGAAACTGCACAGAGCAATTTGTCTGGAAGGGAAATGACAGCTGGCAGGTGGAGCGGTGGCCTAGAATCTGAAGCGCCCCAGGCAGAAGCAGCCCTGGGCTTACTCAGTTTCTCTTCCTCCAGACTCAGCCGCAGTGTGTGTTACAGTGGCTCCTGTCAGTCCAAAAGGTGAAGAAAGGGGAACCCAGGAAACTGGAGCCTTCTTGAGCTCCAGGAGAGAAGGAGTCATAAAAGTGACCCCATAATATGTTTCATGCATGCTGAGCTCACTCTAGGGCTCACAGACAAGGATCGGACGCTGGGTAGCATTAACACCGCTTTTATTTATTTATTTATTTTTATCGGTACCAAGGATCGAACTCACGACTGCCTGCTTGCAAGGCAGGCGCTTATGCTGCTGAGCTAAATCCCCAGCCCCTAACACCACTCTTATAAGACTATGAGAATTGAACAGGTGGATTTCTGCCTGAGCAGCCCTGCCCAGGGGTACACACAGTATCACCCAGCTCGGGAAACCCCACGTCGCTGGGAAGCGTGTCCCTGGCCCAACCAGGCTGACTGACTGCAAAAGCGAAGACAGCAGCGTCCTCAACAGGATGGGACTGAGACCCAGCATCTCCTAGCACAATCCCCTCACACACACGTACACAGACCCTGGGTCCAGGATCCAGTCTAGAGTTACTTCACATGGAGGGACCAGGAAAGTCCCAGCTCAACTGGAAAAGACTAATGAACGCTCCCAAAGCCAAGAGGCCACACAGGTTAGAATTGATGAGGTCCTATCTGGATGTGGTAGCACATTCCTATAAATCCCTGCACTCATGAGACTGAGGCAGGAGGATTGCCATGAGTTCAGGGCCAGCTTGAACCACAAAGCGAAACAACCTTGTCTCAAAAAACCAAAAGAGAGAGAGAAAGAAACTGATAAAATTCTAACGCAGCTATTAGAAAACGTTCCAACAGGCAGTTATGAACACATTTTTTCCCCACAAACACATTTTTTTAATCAAATAGAAAAGTAGGAAACCTCTGGTTGAATGTCATACACTAGTTTTTAAATTACCAATTTCTCATGGAGTTGTCTAAAAGTTACCACTAATTATGACAGTTTCCATTTCTGGAAAAGGAGGAAGACTCTTCATGAATGACTTGAGATCTTGATCATTTGTGTTGGTCCCCAGGCGCATTCAGAAACAAATGACCTCCACATAGCCTCCTTCTCCCACTCTGATTTGCTTTCATTTCTTTTTTTCCTGGTAATGGAATTCAAACCAGGGTCTTGCTCATGCTAAACAAATTCTCAACCACCGCTCTATACCCCAAGCCCAGGGCCCCGGGAACCTCACCAGAGAGCATTCATTTCCTCCCCTCCTCAAATTTTTCCTAACTGCTCTACTTTGGAATGCTAATTTTACAGGTGGCCTTATCCATTTATCTGTTTCCTTACTGTCTTTATCTCTGCTTTATACATGGAAAGATAAAGATGTTTTGCCAAGCAGTGTTCATTCCTTGGGGGGCGATATTATCCTGTTACAATTGCATCATCTAAGAGAAAGATAACAGGCAAATAGGTAAGAAAAGGCGTGCGGGAAGGACCTGAAAGCGGGTAAAAGTGGGGCAGAACTACATAAGCTGGTGACTCCCGCTGCTTTCCCCAACTACGCAGGAAAGGAGACGCTGCCCCTGCGGCCTCCTGGCTCCCACTTGCCCTGCCCCACTGGGCTGCTTTTCTCACCCCATGCAGCCACAGCTTTCAGACACGCCCCACAAAGGGGGTCCATAGCTTCCCTGGAGCACCACACACACACACACACACACACGCACACGCACGCACGCACGCACGCACGCACGTCCTGTACCTTAAATCCAAGAGGAAAAGAAAGCTCAGGTATGGTGGTGCATCCTCAAGTCTCAGCTACTCGGGAGACTGAGGCAGGAGGACCACTTGAGCTCAGAAGTTCAAAGTCATCCTGTACAACATAGCAAGATCTCTGCCAAAAGGAAAGAGGAAAAGAAATGTAAAGAATGTACTCTGAGGTGAGTAATTTCTCTGCTTTTCAA